GTCAATTATGAGTTGGTTCAGATTAAAAAACAATGAGGGTATGTTCCTAGCAGTGGAATAGCTGGCTCATGTTGAGTTTATATGTTTAGCTTCTTGAGGAAACACCAAACTGCCTTCAAGAGTGGTTATACAATTTTACAATCCCATCAATAGTGTATGAGGGTCCCTGTCTCTCCACATCCTCTCCAACATTTATTGCTTGCTGTCATGTTAAACTTTGCCACTGTTATTGGGGTGAGATAGTACCTCAATGCTATTTTGATTTGCATATCTCTTGTCAGTGATTTTGAGCATTTCTTCATGTGTCCGCTGACCAACTGAGACACAAATGGAGATTTTTTTACACCAATGTTCTTAATAGCATCATTCACAATTGCAAGAACATGGAAATAGCCCAAATGTCCAACCACAATGCAATGTATTGAGAAATTGTGATACATTAACACAATGGATACTACACAGCACTCAGGAAAAATGAAAAATACTACATAAATTGGGAGAGATTGGAGACCATTATAGTGAGTACACTTAGTCTAATAAGGACAAACACTGCATAAGACTGTTGTTGTTGTTGTTATGTGCCGTCAAGTCGTTTGAGACTCATAGCGACCCTATACACAACAGCCCTAAACCCTGCTCTATCCTGCGCCAACCGCACTGCCTCTGACACACCCATCCCGATTACCCCAGTCACTGAATCAATCCATCTCATAGAGGGTCTTCCTCTCCTGCGCTGTCCCTCCACCCTCCCAAGCATGATGTCCCTCTCCAAGGACCCGTCCCTCCTGGCAACATGTCCAAAGTATGTCAGACGAAGCCCCAGAATCCTTGCCTCCAAGGAGTAGCTTGGTTTAATCCTCTCCAAGATGAATCTGTTTTCCTGGCAGTCCATGGTACATTCAGTACTCTTCTCCAGCACCACAGCTCAAAAGCATCCACTCTCCTTCTGTCCTCCCTAGTCATTGTCCAACTCTCTGATGCATAACAAGCAATTGCAAAGACCAGGCCCTGTATCAGGCACACCTTAGTCTCCAGAGAGACACCGTTGCTCCTGAGTACTTGAGAGAGGTCCCTAACAGCAGACTTTCCCATCGCGATACGCTTTTTGATTTCCTGACTGCTGGTGCCAAGAGTGTTGACCGTGGAGCCGAGCACACTGAAGCTGTGAACAATCTCAATCTCTTCGCCATCCATCCTGACGCTGCCAATTGGTCCAGTGGTGAGAATCTTTGTCTTCTTGACATTGAGCCTCAGTCCATACTGAAGGCTGCAGTCCTTGATCCTTCGCAGCAAGTGCACGAGGTCCTCCTCAGTTTCAGCAAGCAGGGTTGTGTCATCTGCATAACGCAGATTGTTACTAGATCTTCCACCAATCCTGATGCCACAATTCTCCTCATAGAGCCCAGCCTCTCGGATAATCTGCTCTGCATACATGTTGAAAAGGCATGGAGACAGGATGCATCCCTGGCGTATACCCTTCCCAGTTTTGAACCATGCAGTGTTACCCTGCTCTGTTCTGACGACTGCCTCTTGGTCCAAGTATAGGTTTCGCATTAGCACAATTAAATGTTCTGGGATTCCCATTCTTCTCAGAGTCAGCCACAGTTTGTTATGATCCACACAGTCAAATGCCTTTGCATAATCAATGAAACACAGATAGACATTCTTCTGGTATTCTCTGCTTTCAGCCAAGATCCATCTAACATCAGCAACAATATCCCTAGTACCATGACCCCTTCTAAACCCAGCCTGGACTTCCAGAAGTTCTCTGCTGATGTGCTGTTCTAATCATTTTTGGATAATCTTCAGCAGAATCTTGCTTGCATGTGGAATCAATGACACTGTTCTGTAGCTTCCACACTCCGTTGGGTCACCTTTCTTTGGAATGGGAACAAATATGGATCTCTTCCAGTCAGTTGGCCAAGTGGTTGTTCTCCAGATTTCTTGGCACAACTTGGTGAGCACATCCAGGGCAACATCTGTTATCTGAAATACTTCAATTGGTATACCATCTATTCCTGGGGCCTTATTTTTTGCTATTTCCTTTAAAGCAGCTTGAACTTCTTCCTTCATCACCATAAGACTATTATTGTAAAAATAGAAGGATAACTAGCAAGACATGCATGGGGGTTCAAGGGAGGAAGGGGTGGCAACAGGGGGGTGAGGGTGGGCAGGGAGGAATCATGGGATCACACATGCTGGTGGCTGAAAAGGGTAAAGAAATAATTGCTTGCTACGCATCTGAAAGCTGAGCTATGACAAAGGATGACAGAAGAAAAATTGATGCCTTTGATCATGGTGCTGGAGATGAGTAATAGACATACCATCAACTTTTAAGAGGACAAGTCTGTCCAGGAGAATGTGAAACTGGGGTGCTCCTTAGACTCAAAGGTGGTGAAACTCTGTCTCACATATTTTGGGCATGTTTTTAGAAAGAGCCAGTCCTTGCAGAAGGACATAATACTTGGAGGGGAAGAAGATCAGTGCAAGAAAGAAAGACCCTCAGTGAGATGGACTGATACAGTGATTGTGGTAATGGGGTCAGACATGTCAGAGACTGTGAGGTTAGCTCAGGACAGGGCAAGGTTCAGAATCATTGTTCATAGGGTTACTATTACTTATAGTCAACTCAATAGCTAGCATGTAGCAACAATGACACCAACAATGTGTTGAGTGTTGAAATTTTGGAAAGTAAAAAAGCATTACCAGAAGTTAAAAATCACTCTTTTATTACCCAGATATAACCAGTGTTAATATGTTAATATATGTCCATTTTGACTCTTTAATTTATACATATTGTATAAGACTTGGATTAATTATATAAACACAATATCATAATTTTTTACCTTGTGCTATCTCAATGCCATTAAGTATTATATTAAAAATAGTACATAAAACTGATTGTATAATATTTCATAAAGCTGATAACTCATAGCTATTTCCAATAATTATTTGATAAGATTCTTTGTACATAAACTTTCTGCAGTCCTGATTTTTTTTCTTTAGAACAGTTATAAAACTGAAATTTCTTAATCCAATTATATGAACATTGTGAAGTACATGTTATTACATACTTTCCATTTGCTAATATTTCTATTAAATGACTAATATTATAAAACTGTCTGGCATATAAATACTGAGTAACTAGATCCAGCAATGAATGTTAGTTTCATGATACTCTTGCTAGCACTGAGCATCATAATGTTCTTAAACTTTACCAGTTTAGAGGTGAAAACTATATTCCATCGGTTCAATTGAAAATTTTTTTTTCCGGTTCAATTAAAATTTATTATTAACAAAATCAAACAGTTTTCATGTGACAATTGCTGAACAACCACAAAATTTAATGCTTTTTCTTTCCACCCTCAATTTATAACTACCACCATTTCCTGCCTTTTGCCAGTCCTAACTTGTCCTTCCACCATTTTCCATAATGTTCCATCCTCCCTTAAGTTTTTCCTGTGGTGTGTTAATCCACTCACTATTAAAATATTTATCAAAGCTTAGCATGTAGAAAGCATGGCGCTAAGTCAAGGTGCTAGTGGTTCCTACTTTATGGATTTTCTTATATAGCAGAGAACTCAGATGGTAAGCATTAACATTGTTATTTTAATGATAGAGAATGAAGGCTATTTTAGAGGTATAACTCAGTGTGTGCTCTATTTTACATAGGGTTTTCTAAAGTCTATTATTTTGAAAGTGGATGGTACCAGCAGCCAGGAAATAAAAAAATGAAATGCACTGCTGTCAGGGACCTCTCCAGAGTACTGAAGAACAACAATGGAGATCAAGGTGCACCTGATCCAGGCCATGATCTTTGCATCAGAAAGCTGGATAATGACTCAGGATGATAGAAGAATTGATGCATTTGAGCAGTGGTACTAGAGAAGAGTATTGAATACACCATGGACTGCTAGAAGAACAAACAAGTTTGTCTGAGAGGGTGGAATCAGGTAAGGATTGGAGGCAAGGATTCTGAAGCTTTGTCTGACATACTTTGGGTATGTTGCAAGGTGGGACCAGTCCTTGGAGAAGAACATTATGCTTGGAAGGGTGGAGGGACAACACAAGAGTGGAAGACCCTGGATGAAATGGATTGACTCAGTGACTAGGGAAATGGGGGTGTGTCAGAGATAATAAAGTTCGCTCAGTCTTTATGAGTCACAGGTGACTTGATGACACATAACTACAACAACTCACTGTAAGGGCTCAAGAAAAGCACCTTTGGGGAGGTGCAGTTTAAGCCAAGATCTTCCAATTGCACATGAGTGAATCAGAGAAGGACATAATGTGGAGGTAAGTTGAGTCTAAAGGTGAGAAGAGAAAGTATTCCACAAAATGATGAAATATATGTTTCCCAAAATGGGGGGGGGGGAATGGCACATTCCAGGCAATGAAAGCAGTTAGTTTTACAAGGAGTAAGAGAAGACTGGATAGAGAGGCCTGAGATGAGTGTGAGTAGGTCAGAGGGGTCAGAATATACCTTGACCTCAAACATGACTCAGTCACTTCAACTTACCTCCAATGTGTATTTGTAAGCCATTGTACATGATATTTACATGTACATTCCTCCTCTTTTAGCCAAGAGACCATCAATGTCAGTGTCCTTGCCCTTCTCTCCAGCTAACCTAATACCATGTGTGGTTTCACTACTCTCTATACAGAGTAGAGAAACTTTTTCAAGTTTTGATCGTAAGATATTCTCTAAAGCTTGATCTTTGCATCTCAATAAAATATCCAATGGTTTAGAAACCTCATTTTTAATAAACAACTGAAACTATTGTGCCTAAAAATACTTTGTAGTATCTAGTGCTATCTAGCCAAGTAGTAGAGATGCAACCAAATGGTGAGCTGCCCTCGAGAGGCCAGGATGTAGATGAGATCTGGGGGCTCAAGGAGAGAATATGCTGATGCTGCTGGGCCATAAAAATCAATGTTTAGGTCACCAACTGTGTATTATAAGTCTTAATTCTCTTTGCCTCAGCTTTTTTCCTCCGGATTCATTCTGAGGTCCTGCCCCTGCCTATTACCTTGAGGAAAGCCTGTTTCACATCCTTATTCCGGAGGCTGTAGATGATGGGGTTAAGAAAAGCAGAAATGACATTGTAGAACAGAGCCAGCTTTTTGTCCTCTTCCGGGGAGGCCATAGAGCCAGGCCTCATGTACATGACCATGGCAGGTACACAGAACATAGTGACGACAGTGATATGGGAGACACAGGTAGAGAAGGCCTTGAGTCGCCCCTGAGCTGAACGAATCCTTAAAATAGCAATGAAAATATTGATGTAGATGACAAGTATGATGGAAAGTGGGACCAGGATGACACTAAAGCCAAGAATGAAGTCAACTCGGTCATTGACTGAGGTGTCTGCACAGGCCAGCTTCAGGACTGCAGGGACTTCACAGAAGAAGTGGTTAACCTTGTTGGGGCCACAGTAGGGCAGACGCATGGCAAAGAAAGTATAGACAAGAGCAGAAATGACTCCCCAGAGACCACAGAAGATGGCCATTAGCCCACATAGGCATGGACTCATGATGACTTTGTACCTCAGTGGGTGACAGATGGCCACATATCTGTCTATAGACATGATGGCAAAAAGCCAGGACTCAGTGATACCCAGCACTAAGAAAATATACATTTGGGTCACACAGCTGGCAAATGAAATGGTCTTCTTCTGGCTGGCCAGATGTACCAACATCTGGGGAACAGTTGTAGTGGTGTATCCCAGATCCAACATGGAAAGAAAGCCTATAAAGAAGTACATGGGTGTGTGGAGATGTGAATCCAGGCAGATAAGGGTGGTGATCAAGCCATTTCCCAGGATAATCAACAGGTAGGTGATCAGGAAGGCAGAGAAGAGCAGAGGAGTGGTCCTGGGACTGGGAGAGAAACCCAGGAGGATGAATTCGGTCACAGATGACTGATTGTGTTCTTGCATTATGATCTACGTAGTGATGAAAAAGAGAGCCACCAAATCAGACAGAGGACCATCTAATAATCTTTATGTCAAGGTAAAGTAGTGTTAGGTAGTGTTCAGTCTTTCTCTCAAATTCACATCTATTGAGTTGCAACTGATTCATAGGTGACCCTCCAGCAGATTTTCTGAGGCTATAAATTGTACAGGAGGAGATTGCATCTTTCTCCATCTTTGTGGCTGATGAATTCAGAGCACAAGAGAGACACCACTTTAAGGTTAGCAGCGCAAACCCTTCCAGACTACGCTATCATGACCACTCCTTAACATTAAGATATCCCTAGAAAGGTTGTGGAGAAACTGGAAGCCTTATTCACTGTTGGTGGGAGTGTAAAAATGGTGCAGCCACTGAGGAAGGCAATATGCCCTTTCTCACAAAGTTGCAAATAGAGATACCATTTGACCCATCAGTTCCACTACTGGGAATATACCCCAAAGAAACCATAACTGCCACCCAAGCAGATATATGCACATCCATGTTTACCATGGCTTTTTTACAATAGCAAAGGGCTGGAAGCAACCAAAGTGCCCATCAACAAACGAATGGATAGAGAAGCTGTGGCATATTCACACAATGGAATACTACACTGTATTGAAAACCAAGGAACTCATGCAATATTATACAAAATGGGTGACCCTGGAGGACATTATGCTGAGTGAAATATCTCAGTCACAAAAGGACAAATACTGCATAGTACCACTTGTAAAATGGGACTGGCATCGGGGTTGGGGGGAAACTGAGAAAGAAGGGATAAATAATATATACTGCATTGAAACAGATAAGGGAAAGAACTGTTTAAAAGGGATGTGTAATTAGGTATTATTGTCATGACAGGAGTCCAGAATGAGGGCTGCATAGTTGAATGGCCTTGGGGGGAGGGATTTTATAACAATGAAAGAATTTTTCTTTCACTTTTCAAAGAGAAGAGAAAACTGGGGGGAGAGAGGTGGGCAGGGAGAAAAGTGCAACAATGAATGAATGGAAATCCTAAGTCTCTGTAAATTTTCATTAAAATTAATAGTAATAGGGGAGCTCTGGTGGTCTAGTGGCAAGAAGGTGCACTACAATCCAAGAGGCACATGGTTCAAATCCACCAGATGCTCTGCTGAAGAAGGAGTAGCAATCTCCTCCTGTACCTGTCAGATCTGATTTGACGGTACACATACGAAAAATAATAATAAAATAAAAAAATTTTAAAAGTTTAAAAAATTAATAATAATAAAAAGATACATAATAAAAAAATAAAAAGTAAAAAATTAAGATACCCCATTTTACCCACTCTTGTTCACTGCTATAACCCCTAGGAAATTTGGGAGGGAAAAAAGAGAGCTTCTATGTCTGGTCCAGGTTCTTCTCCAGCAATTCTACATCTTAGCCTCAGTTTTCAAATAAAAATGACTGAGCTAGCATATCTCTAACTCCTCTAAGAATTCCTCTCCTCAGTAAGACATTTCACTTTTTCATCTAGTCAGGGGCCTAAAACACTTGATTTTGTTAAAGCATTCACTTTAATTTTTGCACGTTAATATTACCCTCAGTCTGACCCCAGGCCACAACAACTCTCTGATTACCATCCCACTCAATCACAGTGAATTATGAATGATAATTATTATTAATGAGTTCTAAGAAGCACTAAATTCTAAATCTTGTCTCTACAATTTACTAGGTGAAAAGTGAGTGGTTTAAACACTCTTTTATCCTTCCCCCAACAAAGGTGCAGTGTCCTTTAAGACTGTATCCTCAAGAACAAAATGAGACTGAATCTTTGTTACAGTTTTGCTTCAAAGATTAAGTAATATTTTGCCTTAAAAAGTATTTTGAAGCAGCCTTAATATAGGATAAAGGTACAGTAAGTTTTAGATTTCTGGACAGTTCTTCATGTATAAGAATAGAATTTAGGTCCAAGTTACACAGACATTCTGAGAAGTCATTCTCTCATACTTGATGCCCGCAATCAATTTTCACTCTTCCAGATGTTTTCTCCCTGCCACCTCTCCCCATTAAAGTCAGTATTCCAGTCACTCTCTCTTTTTAACTTCCTGTGACTGTTAGTCCTTTCTTAGCTTCCCTGAACTTTTGTGCAGGACAGGGAAAGAACCTTGGTGTTGAAGAGATTCCGTGTGCACTGTACACTATTATTACTTAGGGAAATGGTTACAGTCTTGATGTTGTCAATACTACTCTTGCCGAGGTATCAATTTATCCGACTCCAAACTATTCGATCTTCTGTGGCTTTATTCTCCTCTGGCTAACACTGAATGTGTTTTCACCTGTGTTTACATTCAGTACATTTGACCCAAATGACGACATGACAGCACACACTTTGAACATCCTATATGTCAAGTGAGCTCTGGTGGCTTAGGGTAAGGAGTCGTGCTGCCAACTCAGAGTCACATGGTTCATATCCATCAGCCTCTTTGTGGGAGGACGGTAGGCAATCTCCTCCCTTGCACTTCATTACCTTGAAAATAATTTTGGAGAGTCAGCTATGAGTCACTTCTGATTCAACACAACACAACATAACAATAGTAACAACATATATGTTAAGCAGTTGGCCAGAATCTTCACAGACATGATTAGAGAACTGGCAGATAATTGTTTTTGATAAATCTCTACCACTCATGAAAAAGGCCATGTAAATCAGTTTGTTTCCCTAGATTAGCTTCATTTTCTGCTTCTTAAAATAGTGCATATGTGGCATATATCACAATATGAAGCACTGTGATATCTGCTTCACACACATCATTTTACTTTTTCCCCATAACTGGGGTGATAGTTGAAAAGACTTAACAGCAAATATAGGCACACTTCAATCAAAACAGACACCTGGCATAAAGAGAAATAAAATGTCATTTTCACACCAGAATGTTTGGAAACTGAACGTTAACACTACACCAAACCACCTTTATTTTGCAGATAAGAAATTACTCAGTTTGCCCAAGGACATAGTTGTTCATCTCCAGAGCCTGGGTTCATAACTACTAGGCAAATACTGTTTCTTTGAACCTCTGGTACAAGAACATAGTTGTGTTGATTTGTCTAAAACAGATCCTCCTTCCCCACTTTTCTTCTCCCTACTGACTCTTACTCACTCACTCCTGCTGTCATTCCCAGAGTAGAAACAAATGAGAGAGAGCAGGAGAAGGAGAAATTGTGGCCAAAAAGTGAAGCAAGTGGAGTTCAGAAGAAATCAGATCAAGCCAGAGTCCACAAAGGTGCTAATTCAGGGAGGCAACATAGTTCTTAGGAACACAAATTCCTACGGCCACTTGTCACTTATGCCCCCTCTGTGCACAGTCACATGGCCATAGGCAAGCCTTCCCTGAGCCTCCATGTCTTTTTCTGTCCTCCATACTACAGTCCCCTTCTCAGCAGAATGGATAAGGGCAACGTGCATCCTGGGAGGTCAGGGACTAAGCAGATTGTGAAGTTGTTCCTGGTTGTTGTTGTCATGTATCATTGAATAGAAGCAGACTCATAGGACCCTCCAGCAGGTTTTCATAGGCAGTGAATCTCATGAGAGCTGATTGTTCTTCTCCAGAGCATCTGATGGATTGAACTATATACCTTTGGGTTGGCTGCACCACTCTTTCCCATAAGCCACGTGCTTTCCTCCTGCCTCAAGTAGGCAGTCACTGTAATTCTCAGTGCTCTCTGAGAAGAATAATGAGGGTTTCTTGTGCTCTGTGGCACAAGAGTACAAAGCTTGTAGCTTCTTTGAGGGATGTGTGCTGGGAGGATCTGAGCATTCTGGAAGAACAAAAGGCAGAGTAAAGTAAGAGGGGCCTAAGATTACATCGTCTGGCCTATGAACATTAAGAATGGAATACGGTGCAAGTTAGAGACATGAACTGAGCAGAGTCGGGACAATTAAGGATACTTGACAGACAAGGAGACAAATGAACCACAGAGGTAAGAGAGAGCCTAGGTATACACAAAAGGGATGGAACTAAGAGATCACTTTTACATATTAATAGGACAATGTATATGAGCTTTATGAATGCTGTATGTAAACCATAATTTTATAAAATAAAATTTAAAAATTTAAAAAAAGGAACCTAGCCCTGGACCCAAGGAGCAAGTACTTCCTTTCTATGGCCTTATACTAGGCTAGGGTGATTATAACCTTTGTTTCCTTACCTCCTCGTGTCTAAAACCTAGAGTCTCCCTTAGCATCACAGGAGCTGCCTTTGGTGTGAGACACTGGAGTAGACCCCAGTAGCCACTAGTCCAGATCTTTCTCTCCCAGCCAAAGAAGGTAATGTTGTTTTTCATAGTTGTGTACTATCAAGTCAGAACTGACCCTAACTGACTCTCCAGCAAGTTTTCAGAGGCAATTAATGGCACAGGAGGAGATTGCCCATCCTTCTCCCATGGAGCAGCTGGTGGCCTTGAACCATGTGCCTTCAGGATTGTAGCGCAGCTTCTTTTCATTAGGCCACTAGATATCAATCTGCAATAGAGCTAGTAGGGGAGTCAAGCCTCATCAAGCCCCACTGAGGCTGGAGCTAGACAGAAGGTTCTACTTCTCCTCTTCATCTGCTCTGGATTACACGCTCCTTCTGAGCCTCTAGAAACACTCAACAAATTTTGCTCTGGAAACTTCAGAAATTCACCAAACGTTACTTCTGGAGGCAACCTTGGAGAGTTCAGCCCCTGCAAGATTGATAGTTCTCTGCAGCTTCTCTGAGAAAGGAAGGATTCCTCAACTGCTATTCACAAGCACACAGGAACAGGAAATCACTATGTCTCAAGGCAGCTTAATCTATGCTTAGATGGCTTCAAAGAAAAATTATTTCTTATACTAAGTCCATAAAACTAAATCCATTGCCATCGAGTCAATTTTGACTCCTTGAAACCCTATAGAACTATTGCACAGCCTTTAAGGATGTAAATCAGACTGTTACATCTTTCTCCAGAGCAGTTGGTGATTTTGAAACCCTAGCCTTTTGGTTAGCAGCAG